AGCCAGTGGGCCGGGAGCTGGATCTGACCCTGGCAGCCCGTCCCCTTAATCACCTCCTGCAGGCCTGTCTTTACTTGGACCTTCCAGGAAACAGAGCATCAGTAGCCCCTCGGAGAGACACAAAGTGACCACCTAGGGCAGGCTCTGGTTACTACACCACCCATGCCATCCATGGGAGGGAAGAAAAAGAGTTTGACATTCAAAGCTCTTTGCAGAGCACTTCCTGCCTGGGGGGTAGAGGGAAGGGAGGAAGCGTCCTCCGTGGTCAGACTGCGCCGGGTAAGTAGTATTGAGGAGGCAAGTGATGTCACCTGTGGTTGGGGCATCCCCTGGGGTGTCAGGGTGCCTGGCTGTTCTCTGTCCGGGCTCAGTAGCAGGCTAGCACGATCCAGAGCTGCAAGCTGGGCAGGGGTGAGAAGGCTCTCCCCGAGGGCTGTTTGCGACTCAGCCCGTCTAGCACAACTGTCCCGAAGCAGCGACTCGGGTGCCCCAACACGACTGGCAAGTGTATGCCACCTTTGTTCTTACCCGAGAAGAATGGCTGAAAGGTTACTGGCAGGAAAGCTAAGCCACTGAAAAAGCGATGCAGGGGTCCACAAACTGTTCAGGTAGAGAACAAAAGAGACCAAACCAGAAGCCAACCAGAGCTGTAGGTTAGGAGTCAACCCAATCATCTCAGGCAGAGCAGGAGAGCGAGGTGGAAGGGGGAGCCTGCCCCCTGCCCTGGGGCCTGGGGGGTCAGGGCTAAGAAGCACAGCCCATGGTAGCTAGGAGACACAGCTCTCCAGGAGCAGGGAGGGAGAACCGGCTGGCAGGTAAAGACACTTGAGTTCCTGGGGGCTCATGGGTCTGAGGTGGGGTTGGATTATGGGGGACACAGGGGATGAAAGCAGGAGAGGCACCACCAGCTGACCTACCCCCGAGGAGCACCTGCCCCCAAGATGTGTGCAGTTGTGACAGGGGCTTCCAAGTCCACGGGCAGTTGGGGAGTAAAAAATGAGCCCCTGATCAATTCCTGAATTTGTGCCCCTGATGGTTTTATCAAGAAGCTGAGGAAGAACGAAGGCAAATGGCTCTTCTGTACTTAGAACTGTGGACTGAGGTGGGAAGGCCCTTAAGCTCCCCAGGACAATCCAGTGGCTTTCCACAGGTGGACTTGACGTTCAGGGACATGGTGTGGTGGCTGGGGCCATGGGGCTCTGGGTCTGAGCTGCACAGGCTGGCCTGCCTTCCACAGTGTCCGTTCTGTGACTGGGCTGTGACCCAAATAACCAAGTGCTGGGTGACCAGGCCAGGAGAGCGAACATGCTGGACAGACTGGGCCAAAGCTGAGAAGGGGGTGTGGGCAGCCGGGTGGGGATGCTTCAGTTTAGGGAAGCCAGTTTCAGAAAGTACGGGGAGAAGTAGGATCCATGCCCAGAGGCACAGCAGAAAAATCTGAGTGTCCACCACTCCCAATCCTAGCCTCCCCTGCAGTTGGGTTGGGGCCATTTACCTGGGGCTTGGCTAAGTATGGGGAATAGAGACTAAGTAGGCAGCATCATCCATCCCCACACCCCAACAAAGATGTCCGCGCCCTAGTCTCCGGAACCTATGAATGTCTTATATTACCTGGCAAGGGGGAGTTAAGGTTGCTATTCAGCTGACCTTAAAATAAGATTATTCTAGGGGCACCTGGGTGGTTTCACGGTTGAGGGTCTGCCTTTGGCTCAGGGCATGATCCCAGGGTCCTGGGATGGAGTCCCTCATCAGGCTCCCTGCAGGGAGCCTGCTTCTCCCTATGCCTATGTCTCTCCCCCGTCTGTGTTTCTCATGAATAAATAAATAAAAATCTTAAAAAAAAAAAAAAAGATTATTCTGGAAACGGAAAAAAAAAAAAAAAAAAAAAAAAGGACTCTCCCCAGAATGCTCCCAGAAGAAACCAGCCTTGCAGACACTTTGATTTCAGCCTGGTAAGACCCATCTTAGACTTCTCCCCTTCCAAATGATGAAACAGTGAAGTGTTATTTTAAGGCTCTAAGTTTATTATGCTTTACTAACAGCAGCCATAGGAAAGTGATGTAGTGACACATGTAAGTCACAGGTGTCACCATAAGCCCTCACACCATGATCTACACAGGCCATGTGATGGGGGAGCCTTGTAGGATGGCTACCTGGAAGGGAAACAAACCTTGATTTGTTCAGCCCAGCTGCTGAGATTCTGGGTTGTCTGTGACATCAGTGAGCCCTATTGGACTCATTAATGTTACTGTAACTAATACTTAATCCTTTTGATGTAACTGTAACTGATACAGACCTTGATACAACAGTGAGTATTCCCTATATAAATGAAAAGATTTCTGAAGTTGGGAAGGGGAATGCATCCCCCAAACCACGTAAGAATGCATGGGCATTGTGTAGAATGGAAAGAGCACACACAAGAGAATGAAACCAAGTATGGAACAATGGAGGGAAATCTAAACCGTATTTCAGAAATGCTGCGTTCTACCCTCACTGGGAGTTTTTGAAAAAAATGAGTGACTTGAAGTGTCTTTTTTTCTCTTTTTTCTTGGCATGTTGGGAGCAAAAGCAGACCCCTTTCCTGTATTCTTCAAGCATTAATCAGTGATTAGGTTGAGGGCACTGGAGGTGTGCTTAGCAAATCTGTAACTGTATGGTTAACACAATAAAAAGACACACTAGTTGTCCACTGCAGGCAAGAGAGTGGCCTAGGTAATCTGGAAAGCTTCCTGCAGGAGACAATTTAGGGAGAATTATTACCCACAACCTTTTAATGCATCCTTAACTCATATTTGAATGACTAACGTAACAGAGAACTGAATTATCTTGAAGTTACTAAAAAAAGGACTCTATTTTCCGTTTCACTTTAGAAAAATACAATCGTGTTTATATTTCCATTTGACTCAATTTGAGAAGGGATGGGAAGTCTACTTTTCAAAGAAAACCATATGTAAAATTAGTAACGCTCAAAGTTACCACATATTAGATTTATGAGAACTTTACTGACATATGGTTTTGGCTACCCTGGGAAATGGAGGGGAACGGGGCCAGCAAAATGTATTTAACAGAGAGATTTTATCCACATCACTGCCACCAACTCCCAAAGACAGGCAGAGATGAGTAATAGTGTGGCTCATAATTAGTTCTCCTTGCTGCCGTGGCGTACTGGTCCTGCTATTTGATGGAACAGAACCTGGCTCGCTAATTCTAACTTTGCTAATTTGTATTTCCAATAATGCTCATAAAACATGCTGTTTCAACCCATTTCTCCGCAGATACTTTGTAGCTGAGAGAAATGGAGAAGTCTCAAATCATTAAGACTTCATTACTTTTACAGAGGGCCTGGATGACAGTGCCCTGCAGGGTGAGGCAGGGCCTCCAGTGTCTTTAGCTCAAGCTGGTGGCTCAAGCCACGTCAGGGAGTTACTCAATTTTCCTCCGTCTCTCCCACCAATACAGGAGGCACACGTGTTACTGAACTTCTATTTGCTTTTCCCTTGTTAATCGGCCATGAATTTATAAGGGTAGAGGGAAACACGGGCACACTGTAACACTCAGCACACGGCAGTTACTATTTCCACTGCTAAGATGCAGGGCTCAGACGGAGAGGGACACTGCAGGTCCTGCATGCTCTGGGGGATGTGAGAGGTTTTAAGAGGCTTGGGGAAGCTCACTCAGGAGCTATTATTATTTTGTGCAGGACATTGTGTCAGCCACTGGGGATAACGGTCATGAAGACTCAGCCCAGAAATAAGGCACCTGGGTGGCTCAGTTGTTTGAGCGTCTGACTCTTGGTTTTGGCTCAGGTCATGATCTCAGGGTGGTGAGATGGAGCCCTATGTTGGACTCCACAATGAGCACCATCTACTTGTCCCTTCCTTCTGCTCCTACCACCCCACCATCAGACCCACATGCGCTGACTCTCCCACTTTCAGACAAACAAACACAAATAAATAAATAAGAAGACTGGGGCAACCTGGGTAGCTCAGTCGGTTAAGCATCTGCCTTTGGCTCAGGTTAGGATCCTGGGGTCCGGGGATCGAGCCCCACATCGGGCTCCCTGTTCAGCAGGAAGTCTGCTTCTCCCTCTACGTCTCCCCTGTTTGTGCTCTTTCTCTCAAAGAAAAAAAAAAAAGACTCAGCGCAGAAGCAAGGAGAAGAGAGGCAGATAAGTGGAGGTTAAGTGTGATAATAAGGAAACGGGATGCCATGGGAACGCACAGAAGGGTACCTGGCTCAGAAAGCAATAATGAGAAAACACAAAAGAACATGAAGATAGTTATAGGAGAGAATTTTATTGTTTCCGATTGAGGATTTAAGCACGAGTCTTTGTTACCCAACTTAAGCACTTAATGAAAGGGTTCCTGAAGTTTTAAGGCTGTTATTTTGATTTATGAACTGTGCTCTTGGCCACCTTTGATGATTATTCTTTATTATAGTGGGTGGTTTTTTTTGGCTTATTTTTTAATATGATCTACTTTGCAGAACTGCCTACTCTCTGGCCATGCCGGAGTAAGCACCAGCTCTCTGAGCTTTCCTGCAGGGACCTCTATAATACTGGGGAGTGCACGGAGGGGTACTGCTGGGAAGCGAAATACTTTAAGCAGCTTTCTAACCTGTACCCCTGGGCCAGGATGCCAGGCCCTTCCTCCACCTCTGGCCATGTGTGTCTAGTCTTAGAAAATGCAGAATAACAGTGACATATCCCTACATAGCTCTTGCTTGACTGGGGCCCCAAAGGACCTGTCCTGAACTCACTGAAGGGCTTACCTGTGGGATCAAGTGCCCTCTGGCTCTAGTCCTGACAGATGGAAAAAACGAACTGAAGAGGGACAGCAGCAAAGGTGGCCCTGTCCTGGACCTTTCCCTGAGGAAGATCAGCAAGCCCAAACCTCCCATTTGAAAGAACAGGAAAACTGAGCCCCAGGGAAGTGATGGGCCTCAACACCTAGAATTCAAGCTCACTGCTCACCAGCACAGGTAAGTTGCTTCCTTGCTCCTCAAGGTATCAAAAAACTATTTAATTTGTAATTCACAAATCCTAGATATTTACAATTCAAAGAAAATCAGAGTCCTTTATGACGCCTGGGAAGTTAATATGCATAGTCGAGTCTCTGATCTTAAAAATCTCAGTACGGGGGAATCCCTGGGTGGCGCAGCGGTTTAGCGCCTGCCTTTGGCCCAGGGCGCGATCCTGGAGACCCGGGATCGAGTCCCACGTCGGGCTCCCAGTGTATGGAGCCTGCTTCTCCCTCTGCCTGTGTCTCTGCCTCTCTCTCTCACTGTGTGCCTATCATAAATAAATAAAACGAAAAAAAAATTAAAAATCTCGGTACGGACATGTCTTTCCAGGCAATTTAATTAGGGCTACTTTGATTTGGCATCACTCCAACAGATACACTTCAAGGCCACTCAGTAGCCGGGGCCAGGGGCCAGGGGGAGTCGTGGACCGACTGCTGCCATGTAGTCCAAGGCCGTGAGCGCCACTGGAGTTGTCCTTTCCTGAGCAACTGCCCAGGTCAGCGGGCAGCTGGATGTGATCTATAGCAGGAGCAACTAAAGGTCAGAGTTACCTTTCAAAGCAATCCCTTTGAGGTACTCCCTCTCTCTTTTTGGGAACTAATGCAATTTTGCAAAGGGCCCCAAAGCATATTTTCCCTTATGGTGGAGCTATCTTCTGAGATCCCAAGCCTCTTTATGCCTCACACACCACTTAGCCATTACTCACTCTTTCCTGGCGCCAATTAGTTTCCTTGTTGTTGAGAGCATCTTTCACTAGAGCAAAATACTACCTACTCTGGAATGAAGCTTACTTAAAAACTGCTGTTTTCTCTCCCGTCGAGGGAGAGAATTAGAGCCCTAGAGTGGGGACGGCAGGTCACAGGGCTCTCCCACAAGCCTGGGCACACGGGCCACCAGAAGCAGCCATGGTTCCATAAGGCTTCTGCTCCTGGCAGACTGACTCTAACATTAACTCGTGCAATGAGGACCCCGAAAGAAGCCCACACGCCGCTGTGACTTGATTTCTGCAGCGGGCAGCCTCTGTGCCTCCCAGGGTCCTTCCGTATGGATCGACTGTCACTGTAAGGCAGAAGAGAAACAGACCTCGGCCGGGCGGGCCAGAGTCGAAGCAACAGACGGGAACTGTGCTCAGGAAGGAGGCAGCAGGAATATAAAGCGCATTATTATTATTATTATTATTATTATTTTCTTTTTTTTTTTTTAAGAAAGATGACTCTTTTCTCGATTTAACTTCCTTGGCTCAGAAGTTTGGGATTTGAAGGAAAGAGAAAAAAAAAAAAAAAAAGCCCACAGGGGAAAAAAAGCACTTACGAAAAAGTCGGATGAGAGAGAAAGTTGGGCGAGGGGAGAGAGCCATACTGAGTGATTAATGATAAAAATCATTTCCGCTCCTTTGGTTCTTCTGTGGATAGGAAATGCTGTCAGGCTACAATCAGTCATCAGCACGACACCAGAAACACGGACTGTGACCGTCCTGGCTGCTTGTTCTCCTAAGACACCCGCACATTCTAAGTTAGGTCCTGGGCGCGGACTTTGCGGAGACGCCGCGCACGCAGGCGACTTCAGTCGGGTCCTGCGGCTGCGCCAGCCCCTGCCGGCCCGGGTCCGCGCGGCGCGGCCGAGGTCGTCGCAGGCCCCCGCGCCCCTTCCCGCCCCCCGCCCCCGCCCCCGCCCCCGCGCCCGCCCCCGCCCCCGCGCCCCTCCGCGCCCCGCGGGGGGCACAGACAGTGGGAACGAGTCAGTACCGGCGGGCGGGTGTCCGGCTTTCGTCTCCTGCTTCCCCTCGGGAGGCGAAGACATGATGAGACCGCGTATCCGACGGGCGGGGACGGCGACGGCGACGGCGACGAGAGCGGGCTCGCGGGCCGGCGGGAGGTGCGCGCGAGCGGGAGCCGGAGCCGGAGCCGGAGCGGGAGCGGGAGCGCGCGGGGGCCGGCGGGGCCGCGCGGGGAGGCGGGGGCGGCGGCCGCCGGGAGGGGGCGCGGCCGCTCGCGCTGACGTGGCGCGTCCTGGCCTCCCGCGGCTGCGCGTTGTCGTCACTGCGCGCGGCCCCGCCCCCCGGCCCCGCGCGCGCCGTGGGCTGAGCATGCGCAGTCGGCAGCGCCACGTTGGAGGCCGTGGCCGGGGGTGCGGGAGGAGGAGGGAGGCGGGGCTGCTGCGGCTGCTGCGGCTGCTGCGGCTGCTGCTGCTGCCGGCGGGGGCTGGAAGGGCCCAGCCGGAGGGTGGCGCCGACCCGGCCGCGCTCAGCCCTCAGCCCGGCCGTCAGGTGGACGGTGACGGCGGCGCGCCCCGGGGGGACCGGCCCGGCTGGCACGTGCCCTCCTGCGGCTCCCGCGTGGAGCGACTGATCGCGTGCGGAAGTGAGACCCCAGGTGGGACCGACCAGGAGCCCGAGGATGGCAGGGATTCGTCAAAAGACGCTGCAGATGGCAGTGCCCCCGCCCCCCCACGAGAAAGCCCTGCGAGGTCAGGGACCTGGGCTCTTGGTCTGTGCCCCGCCCCCGTGTGCTGTCTTCTTGTGGCGACCATCTGTCCGCAGAGGATGCTGCACGCTCGTGCCCCGGTTCGCAGCCTTCCCGCCTTCTCAAGCGCTTTGCAGTTGCAGTGTCCAGTGCAGGTGTCCCCCTTGTGCACCATCCATCCCGCCTTGCCGAGTTAGCGTTCACGGATGCCCAGGGCCTCCGGTAAAGGACGTAGTGCCGCGTCCCTTGGCTGTGCATCGACCTTTGACGATGCACGTGATCAAAGGGGTTGAACACCTCACCCTCCCTTATCCCTCAGCCCAGTCCAGTCCGTCTAGTGGTTCTCCAGCAGCACAGAGGCTGCCCCCAAACAGGGAAGGTTCTTTTCCAAGGTTACTTATGACCTCCATGCTGCCCGGTCCAGGGGTCACTCTTCCACTTTGATCTCACTTGATCTTTCAGTAGCACTTGACCCAGCGGACCATCCCCATCCTTAGCTTCACTGCCTTGACATTCAGTGCTCTGGCTGGGTGCTTGGCTGCTAACTCTGTTAGGTGTAGTTGGCTCCTCTTCTATATTTACAGACATTTGAGTATTCTGAGGCTCAACACCAGCCTTCTTCTCTATCTGGACTTGGCTTCAGTGGTCACATGCAGGCCCATGGGTATGACTGTCATCCATATGCTTACGGATACCAAATCTGCAAACCCATTTCTCTACCCCTGGCCCTCCACTAAGCTTCAGACTGCCTCCTTGACCTCTAGATGTCTAATGCAGTACTGCCCAACTCTGCAGCACAGCACACGTAGAAATGCACGTTCTACCCATTGATCCAGGGCTTTCTCCCCCATTTTTCAACAGCATTAATAGCAAGATAGCTGTTGGCCAGATGGTGGTCATGATACAGTTGTCATTCCCTTACATTCTTTCACATCAAAACTTGGAGACAGGTGTCAGCAGCTTATAAGAAAATCCAAAATAAATAGCCAAGCACTCTTTTTTTTTAATAAATTAATTTTTATTGGTGTTCAATTTACCAACATACAGAATAACACCCAGTGCTCATCCCGTCAAGTGTCCCCCTCAGTGCCCGTCACCCATTCACCCCCAACCCCCGCCCTCCTCCCCCTCCACCACCCCTAGTTCATTTCCCAGAGTTAGAAGTCTTTATGTTCTGTGTCCCTTTCTGATATTTCCCACACATTTCTTCTCCCTTCCCTTATATTCCCTTTCACTATTATTCATATTCCCCAAATGAATGAGAACATACACTGTTTGTCCTTCTCTGATTGACTTACTTCACTCAGCATGATACCCTCCAGTTCCATCCACGTTGAAGCAAATGGTGGGTATTTGTCGTTTCTAATGGCTGAGTAATATTCCATTGTATACATAAACCACATCTTCTTTATCTATTCATCTTTCGATGGGCACCGAGGCTCCTTCCACAGTTTGGCTATTGTGGACATGGCTGCTAGAAACATCGGGGTGCAGGTGTCCCGGAGTTTCATTGCATCTGAATCTTTGGGGTAAATCCCTAACAGTGCAATTGCTGGGTCGTAGGGCAGGTCTATTTTTAACTCTTTGAGGAACCTCCACACAGTTTTCCAGAGTTAGCCAAGCACTCTTGGTAAGAGATGCTGCATCACTAACACACTTAATGGAACAGTGAGAAAATCTATAGACACTATTAATTTGGATTCTGAATGGAAAGAACCTTTAAGGATACCTAACCAATTAATTGTATGAATATTTTCCTTTTTATGTATGTGTGTGAGTGATATATTGTTAAAAACTCATGTCTTAATAAGTCTAAACCATTTCTAAGAAGTATAAAATAAAATTTCCAGGTTAGAAAACATTGTTATAGTTTAATTGGCAGCATTTTTGCCTTCAGTGGTAGCTAAAATTGCATGTTAAAAGTGATGATATTTTCTATCCTGTGACATGTGGCATTCCTAGGGAGTCCTAGGGTAAAAGAAGGAGGCTTCTGAGGAGGGAGTCAAGCTACCCAAGGGCGTTGGTGGTCCCACTGGGCTGCCCTGAGGCCTCAGAGGATCCATATCTTTTCCTAAGGCCTATTCTGGGACTACACTGATTGGAACCCTGTGGTGTAATAGTCATGTCTAGTTTTGCATGTTCAAAGCAGAATTCTGATTAATCTACCTACCCTGTAGTACCCTCTCACCTAGAATAGCATCCAAACTACAGTGTGGGGTACCTGTCTAATCAATAGCATTGCTACTGAAGAAGATGTGGTTGTGTAAACAACTTGGCTTGAGAAAGACTACCTGTGTTTCCCAGCCTCCCTTGCACCCAAGGGTGGGGCAGGTTCTGCCACTAGAATGTAAGTGAGAGTTTGTTGGGAGCTTTCTGGCAAAATTTTGCATGATTGAGGGGTGCCTGGGTGGCTCAGTTAGTTGGGTATCTGACTCTTGATTTTGGCTCAGGTCATGATCTCAGGGTCATGGGATTGAACCCCATTTCAGGCTCCTGGTTGAGATTATCTCTCTCCCTCTGCCCGCCCCCCCGCTCTCAAATTAAATAAATAAATCAAATCTTAAAAATTTTTTTGCATGCTTGATATGAAGACTTCCCTTCCTCTTGTTGACTTCATTATTCATGCTGCCTTGAATTTAGACAGAAGGTGGAAGGCAAAGCAATCATTGCAACCACGAGGCAATAAAAGGTATGCATGCCATATGTTAAGGGTGGCATAAAGATCAGAGGCATGTGGGATTTGAGGTTCTATGGAGGCTCTGCAGAGCAATGGACCCCACTTCCAGACTATCTTGTTGTGTGGAAAACAAACCCCTATTAGATCAAGTGCCCGGGGTTGGTGTCTTTATATCCAGCCAAATGCAACCCCCAACACACATGACCTCGCAGGCCCTACATGATGGGGGCCATGCCTGCCTCTAGAAGCTCACCTCTCATAGCCCCTCTGATCACTCTGGCCTTGCTGATACTCCTGTAGTGTGACAAACCAGTTCTTTCCTTTGGGCTTTACCATTAGCTGTTCTCTCCACCTGGAACCAGCTCTCCCAGATTCCTGCATGACTAACTCCTGATCCAGAATCAGCTTTTCCATAGGGCCTCACTTGTCCACCGGATCTGAAGAATCCAGCCCAGGTACTTGACTCTTAACCCTTTGTGTTCACAGCACTTCATCCTCATCCAAAATTCCTCATCCATCTTCCAGAATGTTAACTGTCTGTCTCCTCTGACTATAACATTGGTTGAATGTTAGTCCTACGAAGGGATAGACCTTGTTCATTTTGCCCACTGCATGTGCAGCATCCAAAACCAAAGTGGGTGCATTAAAAAGCATTCAGTGGATATTCTTCCCCATAACTCCAGAGCATGGATGGATACATTTAATTTCTCAGAACTGTTACCTAAATGAAGAGCAGCAAGTAAAGACTACACAGAGAATGAAAATATACCTAATATGTAGGTACCATCAATGCAGATAACCACTTACCCTTTCTAACATTTACTTCTACTGTGCATGTTTGTGTATGCATGTGTGTAAGTGCGTGTGGTTTTATGTGCGTGTGTATGTGTATGCGAGGGTGTGTCCAGCCTCATCAGTCCCAGATGCTGAAAATAAATGCCAGGCACCGCCTATTGGAAGGTTTCCATGTGGCCATGCACTCCCAGATATTATTAGAATTGCTGAGTGACTAGTCTTATTTGAAGCTCACTATAATTCTGAGAGAAAGTCACTTTCATTTATTTAACCAAGAAAAAGAAAAGTAAGCAAAATGGAGAAGAAAGGATTGGGACACAACTCTCGAGTGCATGCTGGGAGCAGAAGCTGGCTTTCTGCAGCCCCAATCCCATTTTTCTCCCACCGTAGGCTGCCTTCTAAATAGAGTTTTTGTGAGCTGTTTCTCCTTCTTCTCTAAGTAGACTTGTCCAATCCCAAATGGTGCTGGAAAAAATGGTGCTGAATGTAAGAGCCTTCTGAATGTGAATGCTGTAAGCACCAGAAAAAGTATTGGAAGAGGAGAGAAAGTGCAGATTCCCTCCTCCACGTGTGTATGTTGTACCGTGAGCTACATCACTGACACTCTCTAAGCCTGTTTCCTTATCTGCACGGTACATCAGAGATGTGACCACTAACCCCCGCCAGGGCCGATGTGAGTTCAGGATTAAGTG